CCAAAGGCTGTTACCAGCCTTCCATCATTTTATTCCTGCTAACCACCCAAACCTGGCTGGAGCTGATGAGGAGTTGGATGTCTCATCACCCGCACAGTGCTCCTGCACTGTGGGATGAGGCTTGTATGAAAAGCAGCAGAGAGCAGGAGCAGGCTGAGCTGCAAGATGAATATTAACCAGATGCACAGCAGCATTTTCGGCTTGAGGCTGAGTCTGAAACCCCAGACAATGAGAGCTCCAGGGAATGAGCAACTTCATCAGGGACTGTAGCGATAGGACAAGGGGTGATGGGTTCAGACTGAAACAGGGGAAGTTCAGGTTGGATCTAAGGCAGAAGCTCTTCCCTGTGAGGATGCCGAGGTGCTGGCACAGGGTGCCCAGAGAAGCTGTGGCTGCCCCAGCCCTGGCAGTGTTCAAGGCCAGGTTGGACACAGGGGCTTGGAGCAACCTGCTCTAGTGGAAGGTGTCCCTGCCCGGGGCAGGGGTTGGAGCTGGAGGAGCTTTAAGGTCCCTTCATCCCAAACCATCCCATGACTCTATGATCTTCCCCCAGCATAAAAGGCTCAATTTCAATGGAGCACAAACAAATAGTGGGCAGGGACAGGGGGAGGCAGCGAGTGTGTCTCTGTACTTGCCATCTGATGGCTCTCAACTGTCTACAGAAAGTTGAGGGGACACTTTCTACAACGAGGCAGTGAAACAATAAAACCTGTGATTTTTAAATGGGAAACAGAACAAAGCCTTGCTCCAAGTCGAGCTCCTTCCTTCCCTGCTGCAATGCGGCTGCAGAGTTAAGGATCTGTTACACTTTACTGCCGTAAATTAGGGACAACCAGCTCCAACACACACACAGGCGGGGAGGAAAGGAAAACAGGCTGAGCCTTCCAGCTCAGAGCCAGAGCTGTTACAGCATTCCCAAAGGAGCTCAAGTGATGGAGTAAAACCTGGCACCGAGGGCCAGGTGAGGGCTGTGCCCACCCCAGGAACAGGAGGGATTAAATGTGAAATGCAGCCAAACCCAGTGGGAAGTTCCACCCCTGATGGGGAAAACCAGAGCCTGGCTCCCAGAGCGAGCTGGCCATGGGTGAGCAGCGCGGTAAGGATGGAGCTGGGCTCAGGGCAGACAGACCAGGCCAGGTTGGACACAGCCTTGGGTGACATGGACTAGTGTGAGGTGTCCCTGCCCACGGCAGGGGTTGGAACTGGATGATCTTAAGGTCCTTTCCAGCCCAAACCATTCCATGATGCTGTGATTCTGTGACCCCGATGAGCCACAACACAGAGCCAGGAAAGACCTGTCTAATTCTGAAGCTCGGTCGCAGCAGCATCGCACCTGAGACATGGGTGTTGCTGTTCAGCTCTGCCTGATACTGATGGGGTCTAAGCCAAGGACCACAGCAGGGTCTGGGCACTGCAGCCTCAGACACAAATGGAAAGAATGGAGCAAGCAGCAGGTCAGGGCAGGGGGGGGACGGGCCCCCTCTGCTGTGCTCTGGGGAGACCCCCTCTGCAGCCCTGATCCAGCTCTGGAGCAACAGCACAAGAGGGACGTGGAGCTGCTGGAGCGAGGCCAGAGGAGGCCCCGGAGCTGCTGCGAGGGCTGGAGCAGCTCTGCTCTGGAGCCAGGCTGAGAGAGCTGGGCTGGGGCAGCTGGAGAAGAGAAGGCTCCTGAAGGGGAGCCCTCAGAGCGGTGCCAGGTCCGGGTTTGCTGCTCACCCACCACATCAAGGATTAAACATACACATACTCGAGTGTTCTCCCTGGAGAGAGCATGGGATGAGGAACAGGGAGGGGATGAGGGCAGCAGCAGCCCTGTGTGACCGTGCACAGATCCTTACGCATGACCCTGGGCAGGGCCCTGGGCGCAGCCCAAAATCGGCTTAGGCCCATCCTAAATCCCACTGTGACTCAGGGGCTCTGCTCCTCAGCCGCTCCCAGCCTCCACCTCCCATCACCTGGCTCCAGCATTGCACGTGGCACAGTCCATGGCAATAAGTGATTCCTTCTTGGATGGACAAGCAGGATGATGGGTACAACAGTGCAGGGGTTGGATGGGGCTCCTAGATCAGCACCATCCAGCTGCAAATCCGCATCCTCCAGGACTGCAAGGGATAAAATCCCAGTTATGAAGCTCCAGGATAAGTTCCTCACCAAGGAAGTTCTGCACAAGTTAAATCAAGAGCTCACAGGCCCCCAGCCCAACAGCACAGGGAAGCATCAATCCTGTCCTTGCTTGATCGTCAGGCTCAGCACCCACAGACAGCACCAAGCAAGGTGGAAAGAGCCTCCTGACCCCCAGCATGTTAGACGTGCTGCTGCTATGGATGGACAGGACACGCACATAAATCAACATGGACATGGCAGGTCCTGGTCTTGATGCTCACCCAGACGTGATCCCAGACTGGTTTGGGTTGGAACTGACCTCAAAGCTCCTCCAGCTCCAATCCCCTGCCCTGGGCAGGGACACCTTCCACCAGAGCAGGTTGCTCCAAGCCCCTGTGTCCAACCTGGCCCTGAACACTGCCAGGGATGGGGCAGCCACAGCTACTCTGGGCACCCTGTGCCAGCGCCTCAGCACCCTCACAGGGAAGAGCTTCTGCCTCAGAGCTCATCTCAGTCTCCCCTCTGGCAGGTTCAAGCCTTTGTGATGAAATTCAAGCCTTCACCTGCCATGGACGTGTCCCATGTTGGGGACAATTCCCACTGTCCTGACACAGGGCTGGATCACTGCTTAAGGCTACAGAAAGATCAGCTTCGGCCCAGCCTGAGGAACCACGAGGCCAGCACCGGTGCCTGGAGCAGGGAGAGCTGCTGTATGCTCAAAGGCTGTTACAGAGGGAGCAGGAGCAGAGTCCAGGCCACCTCCTGCAGGCAGCTGCTTTGTGTGTGCTCCTCTTGGTCCTTCAGGCTGACTTTGGTCCAACTCTGTGGTTGCAGAGGCCCGTTGCCAGCAAGAGGCTCACTCCTCTCCCAGGCTGCCTCCCCATAGCCATGGAGAGCAGCTCCACAAGGACACTTGGCACCAAGGCAGGCATCTATCCCAGCCTCATGGAGAGATGTGTAGGTGGTTTCACCACCTCCACTGCAGCTTCAATAGCATCAGCATCAGTGTGGATCTCCAGCACTAAATCCCCTTTTATGTTTTCCCCTGTAGCTCAGAGCTATTTCCTGGAGAGCAGCAGCACCTTGCTGTCAAGTGGGGAGATGTTCAAGAGAGAAGCAGCCTGTGCAGTGCTACTATAGCCCAACCACAGCAGAGGTAACAGACACCCATTTCCTATGGAGCCAGGCTGAGAGCTGGGCTGGGGCAGCTGGAGAAGAGAAGGCTCCTGAAGGGGAGACCTTAGAGCAGCTCCAGTGCCTAAAGGGGCTCCAGGAAACCTGGAGGGGCGCTTTGGACAAGGGATGTAGGGACAGGCCAAGGGGAATGGCTTGAACCTGCCAGAGGGGAGACTGACATGAGCTCTGAGGCAGAAGCTCTTCCCTGGGAGGGTGCTGAGGCGCTGGCACAGGTTGCCCAGAGAAGCTGTGGCTGCCCCATCCCGGGCAGTGTTCAAGGCCAGGTTGGACACAGGGGCTTGGAGCAACCTGCTCTAGTGGAAGGTGTCCCTGCCCGTGGCAGGCGGTTGGAGCTGGAGGAGCTTTAAGGTCCCTTTAACCAAATCAGCCTGGGATTCTATGATCTGCAGTGGTGCCTTGTAAGAAACACCAGCACCAGAGGCAATAGGGCAAGTGCTGGACTAAGAAACAAGGCACAAGTGTTGAAGCTTTTCTTCTAGCGGATTCCCAGGTTTGTTCTGTGAACTCCCCAACCTCTGCATGTTCCCAAAACTACTTCAGCCCCTTTGTGTCTATCTGAAGCCCAAATCTTCAAACCACCACAATGAAACTGGCACACAAGTGAAGCAAAGGTGCCTCAGCAGACACCAAACAGGGTGCTCCCATGGCTCCCTTTACACCAGAGCCTTCAACCTGTGCTCTGGAGCTGTGTGCAGGAGGCTCAGGGCTCACAACCAAGGCTGCACCCTCCAGCTACTCCAGCTCACTTTCAGAGAAAAGCCTTCCCAAGATTCCTGCTCATTCCTTCCACATTCCACACTTTATTGGCTTTGGCTGGATTAAAGGGCTGGTTTGTGCTACATGAATTCAATAAATATTGCAGAACTGTTGCTGGAGCCCCATCACAGCAGGGGGGGGTGGGGGGAAGTACATGGACAAGTAAAAATGTATTTGTATTAGTTTTCAAAGATCAAATAACCAGCGGGGGGGAGGAATGCAGCTTGGGGGAGAAGGATGGTGTGTGCACTTGAGAAGGGTTTCTGGCCAAGGCCAGAGGAAAGCCCATTACCAGCAATCTGACTGATAAATGGTTTAATACAGAATGAAATGTGCTGCAGGAGCTCTGCCATTTCCTGGCCAGAACTGAAGGGCAACATTTCCCAAGTGCAACTCTGCCTGGCCTGGAGGGAGAAGATGCACCTACCACCAGCCTGCTCCTTTGGAAAGCTTGCTGGGAAAGGAGACGGGACAAGGGGTAGGAATGGTGGGAGAAGGTCTCACTGGCACATGTGCACACACTCCAGCTCCCCAAGGTTAACACCAATCACTGCTTTGCTGTGACAGACAGCACAGTGAGTGCACAGTGCACTTGGCCTGGGGATGTTTTCCGGCTGCCCACAGCAAAAGAAAGCACAGTCAGGTCTGCCTCTTTCTCTGAAGCCATCAGTAACAGTTGTGAGCAGATGAATGTTTGAAGTCCCCAGGACAGGTCTCTAAGGTAGGTGGCATTAGCACTTGTCCTGCCTCAGGGTTCAATGTAACACCATGCAAGAGCACTTATGTTTCCCAGCTACTAAAGCAATATACAAACTTCTCGTGCACCTCATTCATCCCCATACACCCCCAAGTGGAGG